TAAAGAAAGCAAAGATCACATGCTTTAATAAGTCCAGGTCTTCAATGTTGTTGAAGGGTGACTCCTCGGGAGTAAAGCGATCTCTGCGGCATTGATGTGGGTGTTTTTGCTGCCCAACGGATTCCATTATTATCAATATCCATTCTGTGTTGAAGGTGTATAAGATCAGTTTCAGCAGAAATTTCATTACAGATGACCGATGACGACCGAAATTTTAACCAAACTGAGTAAAAAATTGATTAGCGATCATTGACATCCAAATTTTTAGATTGATATCATCGCCATTAGGATTGTCATCTGTAAAAAAACATGGTTCCTGATCCATGTTGAGTGTCTCATCTGTAAAGGTATTCCATGGTTTCAGTTTGGCAATCGAATCTTAAAACCAACAAGGAATTAAAAAAAAATTCAAAGTACACAGCTGTAATCCAATTAACACTTGAAACGACTGTTTTTGACTTGAAAGTCTTAGAAGTGAAATTTCAAAAGTTTCAAAACTATATCGGCTAGTATCACCTCGATTCCAGTAGTAAACCATCAAGTTCTCTCGCCATTTTCTCTCGACAGGCAGAGCATTAGAGTTTTTGTATTTTGCGAAAATTTGCAAGATTCATAGGTGGTATGGTACACAATAAAACTTTGCCGGAATCGAACCGACTGGTTCGCAGCGCCGGCGGAAAATCTGTTAAAACATTTTTACACATAAATACATATCCCGTCCGTTGCTCAAACGGTTTCAGATTCACGGAGAAAATGAAAACAAACGTCTCAATTTTAAAACTAATCGTCTGTCCCGTTCACCTCAAAAGTTTCCGTCAACACTTCAATGTACGCGTCGGGAGTTTTCTCTCATTTATTTTACAATTTTCGGGGAGTTGTGCGAGAATTTTCGGTCAGAAAATAAATTAATCATAAGGAAAGGAACTGCTCCAAGCAACTGCTTGCTTTTGTGAGAATTAAAGTTGATTGAGTTATTTCATGTTACATTGTGGACCTAGACTTGCTCCATAAATATGCAGAAAAGTGATTGTGATCCCGAACTAAAATATCTAATATCACATTCAGCTGATATAACCCAACAGTTGAGTAAAGAAACTGAGTCCCAGTTCTTTCTAGAAAGTTTCAACAGCAAGATGATAGTTATTTCTCTATGATTGACATTTTATATATAAGTTCAGGAGTTTCTGTTTTATTTTTTTTACAAATCTACGAATCTGTGTACTCCAAATAACGGATTTCATAAGACTTACAAAATTAGCAGAATAACACCGCAGGAACGTTATGATGTGTATTGGAGAACGTTGCCACAAGCAACGACCAAATTGAAACTTCGTTTAATTGAAAATACTGACGAAACTTTTAGTTTAATTTAGTCTACAGTAGAAACGAGAGTCTTTATGATAGTAACAAAGTATTTTTCTGGACTAAAAACTAGGTTGTATCAACTCAATATAACTTTAGGATTCCCAAACATAAATTCAGCATATCAATTCTGGAAAGTTCTAGATTCCAAAATCACCTGTCTAATCCAATTGAGTAATAAAAACTGATTGAAAACGATACAAAAAATAATATCGGTAACCTGGACCATTCTCGACAACACCCCGACCGTATCAGACCGCCAACAGAATAAGATCACAACCAGAGTTAGTTTCGAACTCCCATATCCAAAACAGGCAAACTGTTGTGTATGCATATACTCACGCTTCTTTCGTCAACTCCTTCTGGTAAGCTATGGGACTCTGGATGGCGATCAGGAAGTCGCGCTGCTTCTGCAGGGTATCGTGGATCGTCGTCAGCCATTGCTTGTGCAACTCTTCGGAAGCGGCTTGACACGTGAAACCCACGCAGCGGTTCGGATCCGTCGATTCTAGTATGAAGCAATCTTCGCGCATTTTCAGGGAGAGTTTGTTTACCTGGAAGATTCGCGAAGTTAGGACAAACTTGGCGAAACGTTGAAACTAGGATAGAAGAACACGCCACAAAAAATTATACTTACTTGTATGTGGGACTTATAAATATATTGCGGACTAGTAAACTGAGTCTTTTTTCCCGTCACTTCCGAGAATATTACGCTCTGTTCGAAGAAGAACACTTGGAGGTCCTTGTTTTTCCCCACCAAGGGGTTCATTCCGGGCAAATCGGACACCGTCAGCAGTCCGTGGTACAGAAGCTTGCCTTGGGCGGTTATTTTACCCTGAAACATGAAAACGTAAAACTTTTCATTACATTTTTCCATCTTCCGGGAGAAATAATAAGTAATTCACAAAAAAAAAATGTTTTTCGTCAATTTTCTTACCTCGAATCCCTGCAACCTTCCCACATCCATCATATCGTTTGCCGTCTTGGGCACTACCACCATAATGTTGTAAGCGGCTCTCATCGGTTCGATTTCCGACACTATCCCCGCCCTTTCCGTATACTTCAAGATGTCCTTGAGCATCAGCTGATATTTCATGATCCTCTGGACGGGCTTGATTAGCAGATCGCACAGCTGCAACTTGTGGCCGAGCTTGACGCGCAGCTCCTCGAAATAGGTGTCCAGGTACTCCGAGACGATATATTCGGAAACATGTTTATTCTTGCAGTAGATGACGTACATTTGGAGTTTCCGTTCGTAGCGTTTGAAGAGCGTTGCGAGCTCGATGGGATTTTCGACGGCTTGTTTCAGGGATTTGAGAAAGAAGCTGAACATGGAATAGAAAGTACAAAAGGTCAGTAGAAAGTTTGATGAAATAGTGATTCAGTTAAATACTTCGAATAAGAGAATTCGTATCCAAGGAGTATTTACATGTGAAAAATCCCCTGTTTCGGCACTTTCACGCTCTTCAACTTGTACATAATGTTTATTATTACTAGGAAGAGACAATATACTTACTCCTTGTGCCAATCGTATATGACCTCGATATTCCCGAAGACAAGCTTGTCCTTGCCGTCGCGCAGGTCCTCCGGCATCGGTACCTCGCACTCGGGGTCCTTCATCGCGGCGATGTACCCGTCGACGATCAGCGACAGGTCCCTGACGTACGCCTCCTCGGTATCGATCAGCTCCCGCAGCACGTACGCCCTCTTCTTCAGCAATATTTCCGTCTTCTTGCCGTCGACGCCATCCTCGGACGGCTTGTCGCCCTCGTCGCCGCTTAACGCCGACGCCTCGTTGGAGAAGCGGTGCCCTAGGTCCAGGTGGCCGCCCACCGAGGAGGAATCTCCGTACTCCGAAATGGCCGTTTCGGACTTGGCGTCGCGCATCAGAGAATTGCGTTCCTGGATCTCGGAATGTTGCTCCTGGAACGCGAGGATAGTTAGCGGTGATTCGGATTGGCAGCGATCGCTTCGCTTGGATACATTACCCCAATGCTTGTTGACATATGAAAGTCTATTGTCGACACAATAGACATCAATATTCTATACATTCCACCATTATTGGAAGGAACAGATACAGCTGCAGTCATTTCGGACAAGGATTTAATTTGGTGCGCATTTATGTCTATTTGTTTTTCATGTCAATCTCATGTCAATTATCTACGCAGATTCAAAAATTTTATTCTAAGGTGTTGATCAAAACAATAAAATGCACTGAAACGTAGTTGAAGATTTCAATAAATTTGAATTTGTCTGCTGGTACACTAGAACTTCGAAGCGCCACATCGTTTTTTACTGTTATTGTATTTATTTAATATTTATGTTCGGGGAATCCCCGTGACGTCCTTCATCTCTTAACTGATGCGACTGTAGAAAGGACTTTATTAAGGTTGGAAATTCATTAAAACATATTCGATAATATAACATCGGCTTTTGGCTCTTTCTATTCTTTCCATTGAAAATGACGTAGCTCATAGATTATATTGCTTTAATTGGAGATTTAAGTTTAATGAAAAGTTGCCAACGTCATTCAAATATCTGGGCAGGTACGAGTATATCTTCAAGCACATTTATGTACCTTAGATTTTTGTTATTAAAAATTTGTCATTCTTATGTGTTTTACTTTTTATAAAGCTTCTTACATAGAATTTTGAAGCTCTTAATTCATTCATTGATTAATGAATTTCATCTCAGAGGTCACCAGAAGTAACTACTTTCAATTTGCATACTTTTTGCAATAGGAAAGGACCTCATAAAGATCTGCCGCTCGGAGCTTCGGCATAGTTGAAGCCTCTGATAACACAAATAAAAATTGAATATGGAGAATACAGCAAATAAAATTGAAAAATGAACAATACAAACATCAACTGTATATAAGAACTGAAACTAATGTCAACCATACAGACTTAACAACATTAAAAAAGTGCTCCAAACTAAAACTTTATCCGATATTGCCTATTCAATGTGCAGGATCATGGAGTGAGCGACATCTGGTTCATTTATTCGAATGACAAACTACAGGAAAACATTGATTTGACACAGAAAACAGTGTTTTCACACCAGAACAAAAACAAAGGTCTTTCTATGCGCGTTTCTGTAAACAATCAGGAAATTGGTTACAGAAAAACTAAGTTTCTGCATCTATTCATACTTGTACATCATTACCTCAGGTTCATTTTTTGAACATCGATTGATGATCTCCATGACCCGAGGTCGATGTATTTTCAGGCATATACAAACATAATCAAATCGGTAGCAAAACCTGAAGAAACCAGATATAATTTGAAGCTACAAATATGATTGTTTCCCCGAAAAGAAAATATGTAACAATTTAAATAATTTAAGGATTTGAACGAGCACAATCTGTGTGTAATGATAAGTCTATTGTGTCAACATGTATTGGGCAAAGTATCTATGAGAAGCGATTGTTGTCCTAAGACGTTTTCTGATTTAATAGCTGAAGTGCTAGTGAAAAGCGAAAACTTAAAAGTGATGCTTACTAGATTCAAGTGGTTTCTTATATCAATAGAAAAAAACACACAAAAACAATAGTTGCCAAAATGCAGCACATATTTTTCAAGTGATACAAAGAGAAAAAATTGAGAAACTCATTACTTATATAACTTTTAAGTGATATAATGTAAGGGTAATTTATTTTACAAAGATTTCAAGGGTCATATGATTCAAGCACTGGCAATTTCTCTTTCTCTTAATAAATGCCGCAACTTTGAATACATTAAGCAAAAACCAATCAATTTGAGTTTATTCAGAGAAATATAACTACGAATTTTAAATAAACGTCAATCTGGGGAGAAATTTCCTTCCGTATCAATAGCTTTTGTTGGGTTTCAAAGCTATCGCGATGCGGAAGTTCTTCTTAATGTTTCGCTTGCGTTGCTAGCCTCTTCCAGAGATTTGGAAGTCCACTCCATCCGAGATGGAAGCACCTCCGAAGATGCTAGCAACACTAGCGAAACGTAACGAAAAAATTTCACATTACAACGACCGTCAGACCGAGAAAATACATTGATGCAGTACTTTAGGGCCGCGAAAGCCTAACGTCTTCTATAAAATGAATACGTGAGTCCAATTTTTCAAAATCTGGAAAAACATTTGCAAATAAAACAAGAATTTAAAGTCGTCTAAGAACCAGCATAAATATTCATTCCAAATATCTCGGCGGCAGCCAAGCCCTCAGCATTTCGAATTTCCTCAGCAGGAAATTACTTACTGAAAACGGAACAATCGGTTGCACTCAACTCTTGAACACACACACACACGAACGCAAACAATATAAATCAAGGGCAACGACAAACCAAGCGAGAAACTAGTCAACATGCAGAGAGAGAAATTGTTTTTCGCCGTCGAATAGGGCGGGTTGGTTTGGCATGCGAATTTCAGGCATGCTATCGCTAATTGCATTGTAATTAACAACGGAAGCAGCCGAATGGTATTTGATTATCTGGCATGTAGGGGGTATCAGAAAAATCTACGTGTGATTACAACGCATGCAACAAATGAACGATAGAGGATAGAATGCTCTTAGTTACCGTTGTGTAGACTGTATGACGTACATTTGGGACATTTAGATAATCAGTTTTAGCGCCGAAAGTATTTTGATAATGACTTTCAACCTTAATGAAAAACTTAATTTTTCCAAAACATTGAAATCATTAACTCAAAACAAAACTTAAAAGCAGCGTATCTGTAAAGATTCTATTCAATTTCCAAATACGGATGTATCTTTTGTTTTGTCAGAAAGTATAATGGTAATTTCTCAATAAAAATCTTAGTGACAAAAAAATAGGATACATGCGTTCTGTTGCCCGCCTGCTTCTAAAATTCATTTGATCAAGCGCCATATTTTTTCAACTATTCATCACTAACCGTTAAATGAAAACAATATTTCCGATAGGCATATTCTGCATTTGTTTGACTAGCCTATACATTTCATTATGCAATACTTGGGTAACATCCGACCCACTGCGCCATTTCCAGAATATTCCTCAATTTATGCACGTATCACCCTCAGACTTCGGCATAAAGAAGGACACCCAAGTTCATCGATTAATTCTGAGGGGCAACACATTGCCGGTTGAAACGGTTATTTATAAAGTTTAAACTTGGTAACTAAATGCATTCAATCGTATCGAGAGAAATTCAGGAAGAAAACCGTTTCGCACCATTCTCTCCTTCACCAACTGCTCAATCTCTGCCAAGTCGGCAGACGTGGCACCTTCTAGTGATTTTAATGTTAGATCAGACACCTGCAGATGAAAGAGTACGATTACGGTGGAAGTGGATGACGAACAATGCAGTAATGAATGTTTAACAGTCCGTTTCGAACGATGACATCTAAAGTCGAGAAACCATAAATGGCCGTTGAATGAAAAATTATCAAGCTACTTCAAATATAAGTTTTATGAAATGAATAACTCAAGCCAGATAGAAGAAATGTTAATGAGAATTATCCCTTCAATAATAAAACCTGTGACAAAAATCGTGGTACATCCAACCAACTGCGCCATTTTTTACAATTTTCACAATTTCGTGCTTGATCCATATTTCATCCAACTCGCCAAAATCAGACGTCAATAATGAAAAACTCACCCTTTTGCAAGGATTCTCTTCTGAATTAGCCGACCCGCTGCCAGCATGCATCGACGGGGGCGGCGGTGTGACAAGTATCGGTTCCTGGATTGGCTTCATCGGCGGCGGTAGTTCCAGTTCCTCGTCCGCCTCCTCGCCTGCGGCTCCGCCGCCATTCGCGATTTCGGCGCCAAGCGACTTAGCCCCCTTCAGAGAGGGCGGCGGTCGATCGTCTTCTTCTTCGCCCTCGGATACCGACGGTTTGTTGCCCATTTCTGATGGCGCCTGAAACGAAAGATTCGTTACGAAAGGTTGTCAACAATAAAATCAACAGTATCATATTTGGTGAATATTCGACTGCTGGGTTAAGTTTTGCGGTCATGAAGAAACACTTTATTGTAAGATTTTTACTCAACAGTTTTATAAAAACGCAACACGTGTTTCGCCTTACAATAGCTTCTCAGTCACAAAAACCGGTATACATCCAACCCACTGCGCCATTTTTCGAAATTTTCTCAATTTTGTGCTTGATCCACATTCAATCCAGCTCATCATAATCAGACGTCAATAATGCTCTTACATTATCAAAAGGGTAATCATTTTTAGGGCACTCAAAGAATAATTTAATTTTTATATTGTTGAAGCAATATACGTATTTGTGATTGTGTTTTAAATAACGATTTAAAAAAGTAATCGGGGAACACCGTTTCGAATTTAGATGGATGACGAAGTCCTTCATGTAACAGAGACTGAATTCAATGATTGTTTCAGATATAACTGAAAAATTAAAATGGTCTTTGAAATATAAAAAATATGGAAATCAAGATGTAGTTTCTTGTTTTGTTTTAAAAGGGGCGTTGGGACCTATCAACAAGCTTGAACACTTCATATCAACACGTCGTTTGAATTAGTGTTTTAACCTCCAAATATCAAGATGCGTAAAGCAGTTCCACATCTGGTGTTTTCACTTCTACATTTCAGCTTCGACTTTGGAGCCATTTTCAAAAGCTATGACCAAGCTGAGGTCTCGATCTGCTTACTCCTCAGGCAGTGACACGCTGTAAGGGTTACGCGACTTGACGCCAGGGTCTCATTCTGCCCACTCCCCAGGTCTCGTTACTGGTCTCTGCTAGGGTCTCAATCTGTCCACTTCCATCGACAGTCGATGTCTGGGAGTAGGCACATTGAGACACAAGCGTCAAGTCACTAACCCCTCACAGCGTGTCTATACCCGAGGGGTAGGAAGATTGAGACCTCAGTGTAGTCGTAGCTGCATGAAAATAGCTTCAAAGTCGAAGCCGAAACGTCGAACAACTGAAATTACCTGACGCTTTCGACCTGGAGTTCAAATGGAGTGCTGAAGTATGATTCATACGAACACAGCGAGTGAACTTTCTACTATATAATTATTTGATAACTTACATAGTTAACGATTGAAGAAAACCTCCTCAAAAACTTCCTCTTCATAATATAAAACACACACACACACCTAAAACACTCTCGATAGCGAACAACGATTGAATAGTTCAAACAAAGAGCTCGCCAGTATACGCTATATCAGAACAGATTGTGGTTTTCTTTTCGAAAAATGAATCAATCTCCAACCGAGGCTCTCAGATAAGATATGATTATATACTCGATAAACCCATCACGGCGAACGAAACCGTGGAAATGATCGAAATGAAAATAATATCCGAACATTCATAAACTGAATATTCGGAGTTTAGTTAATAAGTTCCGATTTGCCGAAAATAGACACGAGCCGACCTTGGCATTATTTATTATTATTAATAAGGAATTACTCGTAGTTTGTCAAACAAATTTTCAAACGGAAGTTCGTTCAAGGATGCGCATCGGAAACCGAATGACTCAGCCAGTTCGAACCGGAATTGAACGAGATTGAAGATCCCGAGTGTCTTAAAGTGCGTTTCAAATTGTCAAACATTGAATGATCTACTGCGGGACAAAATAAATATTCCCGACGTGTTTTTGTCCGCTGATCATAAATCTGAAATCAAAACTTGGCGTGGCAATCAAAAGTCGAAAAATCGATTATTCCAGAAACACACTTCTACTATTGAAGCTTCGTACAATGGCGCCGTTTTTATCAGCGAAGGCTGTGGACCCGAATAGTTCATTCGATGAATTGATCTTTCAGGTCTGATGATGAAAGTGAAACTACATGTGAACCTATTATTCCGTTTCACCATCTTCAAAACAGAAACAATACCACGCACTGTCTTCCAATGACAGAAGTCTTTTCATATGATGATTCAGTGACAGGCAAAGAAACCGCCTGCAGCGACCTCTTTTGCACGAGAGTTTATCCTTTCAAATAATATTGTAACAAATAAATGAGTTAACTGTCTCAAACAAATTAATTTCCAAAAATATTTCACTAATCACAAACTAATTTATATTCAATACTTAGTAACTAACTCGATTCACTTTCTGAACTGCCCTCTTGGGTCGAGAAGACGGGCTAGAAATCTGTAGTCGGTTCGATACTCGAGTTTTACCGGCGGTTGCAGACTGCATTCTTTCGCGCTGATGTCATGTGTTTGTTCGCTGGCCGACCTATCGGTCAGAGACGGCTTCAGATTCGTTACAATAAGACAGAACTGGCCAATACTTGATGAACATCTATTATAACGTATTCTCTAGTCAGTTTACAAAACCAACACAGGTGTTTCGCTATACAACAGCATCTTCAGCATCTAGAGCGTTGTAACGCCTGAAGATGCTTTTGTATAGCGAAACACGTGTAGCGATTTTGTTCTCTCCCGTGGAACTCTTACATCAAAGTGTTTTTTTGAATACGTTTCATCCTATTATTGAAAAAATACTTCACTGACCTTGATCCTCTTATCGGATCCCGTCTTCTTCAGTGGCGGCGTCGAAGGGGCCGTCTGCGCCTTATCGACCTTACCCTGTGACAATTTCCTTAGCGGGGGCGGCAGCCATTTCCGTCTGAAAAATAAGTGCGTCGATATTAGCAGATGTTTTCGGAACAAGAATAAAAAAAAAGAAATGCAACGATGAGTTGATGCAGACTTGGCGGGTCGTATAAAATGAAATGGAGTAAATAGAAGAGAATTAATTGGTGGTGCAGTACTTTGATTTTAATGGTGTCGTTAAAGTTATGACAGTTTTTGTCTGTAAAACCTCGGTGATTCACGGTTTACGACTTGACACCTAAAAGAGTTGCAAAATTTATGTTTTATGGTCCAGGGTGGTGCATTTTAAAGATATTGTGCCATTTGGAACGTCCTAAATGATGTACGAGAGGCGGATTTGATATAATAATAATAAATGCTTTTATTGGAAGGTTACTCAGTACAAGAGATACTGAACTAACCTAACAAACGGCAGAATTTAACATCTGCACATGATAAATCGAGGGAGATACTCTTCTTACATCCAACCAACGGGTCAGAATTAGTTCAAATCATCTCCTGATGGTACTAACCTAGTTGGCAAAATGTACCTAGATCCTTCTGCGTCAGAAGTTGAACATTGTATCTAATTATTCAATCACGCCAACACAGATTTCTGATAAACATGAAGAATTCGTTGGTAACTGGTCTTCCAAACGGGACTTCCGAACTTTGACAATTATTAAAGCTACATCTGTCAAAATAAGTTGTCATCCATTCGGTCTGTTTTGCCAATGGACCACCATGGACGGATATATCTCTAGTGGTTGTTTCCAGAGCAGGTACTGCTTCTGTTGGCTTTCATTATTGACCTCGTTACTCCAGTATCGATGATGAAACGGCACTGATGATCATTCAGAAATCCGTTGACAACTAAGCTGTTACTGTCGCGTCCAATCATGGAAATCTAATACTTGGGAGCTTTGGATTCAGCAGCCAATGTACCCCCTAACACTGGCTGAATTTAGTTTTCCGAACCTCGACGCTCTAGTTGGATGTTGAACGTGATCGATAGTCCCGCCTTAAATGTCCTTCTCTGCCGCAGTTTTACCATTCAGACCGTCCTCTTGCCTTGGGCGCAGATCCATCCATCAAATATTTCTTAAAGAGTTCTTCAAGACCTACCATGAGTCGATCTGTTCTTTTGTCTTCCTTTTCATTCATGGCCCTCACTAGAACTTTTCGTTATTGTCGCGAAGCATTTTTAGCAGCTTCAAATTCTAGGGCATAAATGATGGCTTCATTCAATTTTTTATGACGTGTCATCCTCAATGACTGCTGCAGCTCTGTGTCACGAACCCCGTCGATGAAACTATGGCCACTAATCCAGTGGGTGGAATTATCCGATGCTTCTGGATAGACGAGTCTTACTAACCTTTCGACTTCCGATCCAAACTCTTGCAAACCTTCAGTTAAGATTGGTAGACAACACGTACAAAAAATGGGTGTTCAGTTAAGGCAATGTATCGCGCGCTCAGTCCATTTTACGGTCGCCATAATCGTCCTACCGAAAGAATTATTCGCATTTTGGGTCCGCTGGTTCAGTAAATGATCGACCAACACCCGTACGTCGACGAAACACAAGTTCTGCCGAAAACATCGCCTCTGTATGTGAGAGTGTGCAAGAGAATCCGAGGCAGTCGATTTTGCGTCGCTCACAAGCACTCGGCATTTGGCAAACCACAACTTGGTTTTGCGTCGTGACTTGGGTCTGCACTCTTACAAAACTGAACTGACTCAGGAACTGAAGGTAAACGGCCATAGACAACGACGTGTAGTCGCTGAAGGGGCTTTGGAGCAGTTGACAACTGACCCTGGATAGATGGGTACGTGAACAAACAAAATTGTCGAATTTGGGACGAAACCAATCCACATGAGATCCAAGAGCGTCCAATGAATCCCGAAAAAGTCACTGTTTGGAGTGGATTTTGGAGCTGGCGTCGTCATTAGTCCGTATTTCTCCGAGAACTATGACACTGTCAACGACGAACACTATAGGTTGATGATTACCAACTTCTGTTGGCCTGAATTGGATGATCTGGTCAACAACGATACATGGTTTCAACAGGAAAGCACTACGAGCCACACATGTCATTCCACATTGGATATTCTGCATGGACATCTGGAGGTGATGTGAACTGACAACNTGCCAAGACTTAATTTATGCGACTCGCGCAACATAAATATGAATTTCTTCGATGAGGAATGTTTCGAGTGTCGGACGATAAGGAAAACAATAATGAGGACGGCGAGTAAACATTTCGTAAATGTCGGGAATATCGTCCTTAATTACCTCGATGTAGGGTGAAAACCGTAATTACAGAAGTGAAATTTCTTCAGGTGAAACACGATAATGGTCTATCCAATGAGTCACACTGGTTAGTGGTAATGACGACGTAGTATTCAGCCAAAATATACGGGGTAAACGAAATGGATTCTATAGTATATTTCCTAAAGGTCCTGAGTAATAATGCACTGTCAAGTGGCTGTTCCATAGGTTAATATAATTTTGTGTGCTAAAAAGTCCAAAATTTTGTATTGATTTTCAACATTCAATATTGTTACACGATTTTATATAACGAATACTGGGTCCACCCTATCGTTGAATCACCGACGGGTCGCAAACAGAATATTTTATGAAAACACTTGTTAAAACTGTTACTCAACTATGTGTATTTATTTATGAACAATCAATATTAATAACATTTCAATCAATAACATTTCAGCCTGGTCATTTAATTTTAGTTGTACTTTATGGACCGCTACCTTTTCTGTCCAACGTATCCATGTCCTTCAAGTAATATGTTCTTGTGGACGATTACACTCTTCCTTAACGAATCAATAAATTTATTCATAGTCCTTCAACTACTATGTCATGTACTCGCCACACGTGACACTTATCCTGTGTGAGCGATTACATATATGCTGCCAGTCCAACTACTACTTAGGAAAATAGACTCTTGCTGATGTGTTGAATTGATTTGTTACATATAAATCATCACGATAAACGAATATACAAGGGGTTTTAGTTGACATGAGTAGCAGTGTTTACAAGTTTCACTTGTATATTATCACATCAAGTCTGCCACTTTTTAAAAGAAGTTGAATCAAGAATAACCTGCATCAGGTGGGTGGGAATTTGAACCTCAGCCCGCGCGAAAATCCAAACGAAATGCTTATCTCCGACATGTTCTACATGACTTAATGCACGATACCACAATATTCATATCCATCACAACTGAAAGTCATGAAAACTCTAGTATAAGCAAATATTTGCAAAATGACTCACCCGCTGAATCCCCTCCTTTTATTTACAGGTGACGAAATGTTGGCCGACGCAGAAGTATCGTTGGTAACGGTCTCTGTAACAAAAAAAAAATATGTGAAAAACCCTTGAATCGCTGAGTGTAACGCAGATAAGCCGAATATTCCAGATAGTACCGCCAATAAATCAACATAAACGAAGTATCGCCGAAGGGAAATAACGTCGAATAGGATGCTAACGTTCGCTATCCTTGAGGTGTCACGTTACTTTGTTTACATTCGAAATTTTTATTTAGCGTCTGTAATGACGGAGATGATAGTCGAATCAACACAGATTTTCCTTGGAAATCCTCAACTTTTTGTTTCATAGCATTTGAAATCGGGAAATATCAAAGCGGGGAGAAAATTATATACATTTTTCTTCGGAGGAATTCGTGAAACTAACCGCCGAAAACGAATCATTCTCCATCAAGACAATGCGAGCTCTCACGCAACTCGTCAAAAAGGTGAATTTTTGACGAGTTGAAGCGTTCAAAAACCATGTTTTGAAGGTTTTTCAAGAGTAATGCTAAATAATTTTTGAGCAGTCAAAACATCGAATTGATGAGTCATCTTCCGTACAGTCCTGATTTGGCACCTAATGACTTCTTCTTGTTCCCGAATATCAAAGGTAAACAGTGTGGTCAACGATTTAAGAGAGCTGAAGAAGCAGTTGAAGCGTTCAAGAACCATGTTTTGGAGATGTTTCAAGAGTAGTGGAAGTACTGCTTTGACAAATGATTTGAACTTATGTAAAAGTGTATTGATCATCAAGAGGAATATTTCGAGAAACAATAAAGCCATTTTCATTGAAAAAATGTATGTTTTTATCTGTTATTCCCCAAATACAAGCAGTATCCCTCATACTGTGTAGCAATCCTGTCAATGAAATCTGATTCAACTCCATAACGAATATATAAAAGGTTCGAAATTATTTTTCTTTCGTGTAATTCAATGTTTATATGAAAATAGTTGTCTTGAGAAGGGTTCTTTTTTCAGTTTGCGTCTGAAAGTTACTTCTTTGCATGGACTACACATCAAGACAAAGACAAATTTTTTTCCCGAAAGCAATATAAACAATTCTCTCCCCGTTCTGAAATGTTTCTGAATGTAAACAATATGAAAAACACGAAAGAAAAAAATTATGCAAATCGAAGATTGTCCGTTCTATGAGTTTATCGAAACGAGAAACTGCTGCCAATTTTTATACAGTGACAAATCTGTTTCGCAATTTTAATGGACAAAATGAACGCGTAACACGAAGTACAATAAAAGTTGTCAAAACACGAGTTTTCGAAAACAACACATTTATATTAAGACTAGCGACAAAGACGTGACTAACGAGGTTCATAATAGTTGTTCTTGGACAATAATAATAACGTTGAAGAATTTTTGGATAGCGTAGGCCACTTCAAATGGCATGCGGACATTCCAAAAACGTGTATGCTATCATTCAGTTTTACGCAAATCAGCGAAACGCAATTCCTGGACTTATACAAGATGTTTTGATGTTGTCACCAAAATACTTCAGACTTAACTTGCCAGTGAAACAAAAACAAATTCATTGACATTAATTTATTCATTATAAATATACTCTATTCTCTTTTAAAAATACTCTTTAAGTGGGTTTGAAATTTCCCCCTTGTTATCAGGATCCTTTGGGTGATGATATTCTAAAAGAAGCTGAAAAAGATGGTATCACTTGGTTAGCTTGAAACAAAAGAAAACAGCTGTCTTACAAGAAAGGAGTTTTTCCTTCTTGTTGGAAGATTGCACAGCGTTTAGCCACTTCCCAAAAAGGGCAAGAGAAATCTTCCAAATAAGTATAGACCAGTCGCTTTGCTATGAAATCAAAAATCATGGAGAAAGTCGTAAACCATCATAACCTCAAATATTTGGAAGGCTTCAACATCTTGAGCGATCATCAATGTAGCTTTCAGAAACAAAGACCTTCTATCATGTGTCACCCATATTTGGAATAACGCAATTGAGAAACATGGAGAATCAAGAGCTGCTAAGGCCTTTGACCGTGTGTGGCATGGGAGTTTGCTGGCCAAACTTCGATGTTATGGCTTATCGGTCAATTTTTGTGTATGTCTCTCCAGCTTCCTGAAAAAACGTTCCCTGTCGTCGATGGATATCTCTTTCACCATCAACACAGGAATCCATATTGCCTCCAACCCTCTTTTTATTGTTTATCAACGACTTATTGTAAAAAACGAAGAATTCAATATATTACTTTGCTGACGACAGCACACTTGTCTAGTCATCCCATTGGGATTTCAGGACATCGGCTATGGAGGCACATCTTCACCGACAGCAGGAGGTTGCACATCTTAATGAGGATCTAGAAGTGATTTCCAAATGGGGTTAAAGTAACCAGTTTCAATTCAATGCCACAAAAGCCAAAGCATCGGTTTTTTCCAAGAAGATATAGTAATGTCAGGTCAGACAATTCCGTTTTCTGCTTCAATAAGTTTGTTGGGTGTAAAAACGTAACCCAATATGTCTTGGCACAATGACACTGGAGTTGCAAAGGCTGCTTCTCAAAAGCATGAAACACTGTCCCGAACCAGAAAACTGTACATCCTCAGCAAATGTTGATGCTTCATAAAGCTCAGATCAAACCTTCTGTGGAGTATTGTTTTCATGTATGGAGAACGCCTCTAAACATACCCTGCAGTTGCTGGATTCCACTTAATACCGTTTTCTTGTTATCCAACTCCTCAACTTCTAATAACGACTCTGTTTCGTTTTAATTTGACCGCCGTGTACACCGATTTCCGGAGAACCGAAAAAAAAGACAAATACGCGCATCAATTCCGCAACTTTGTCTTGGGGAATTTCCGACGTTTCCCATCCGGGCATTCCAACAGATTATTACATCTGACATCTTTGGTCTCCCACTCAATTCGTCAAATTGCGTGGAAATAAAAATCCAACGTTTATCAATCGCGGTTAAATAAACCTGTATACGATATCTTTATTTGTACAATGAGTCTTCGATATAAACTTCACTTAGAGGAAAAAACCTTCAGAAATGAATGCTGTGTATTAAAAAAAAAAGAGTTATCGAAAGAGAACTGAATTCATAAGACTCAACTGGAATTTTTGAATAATCAATAAGTAGATGATGAGTACAATTATCAACAATTACATTTGACAGAGAAAGTCATAAAACTCAATCTTAATGAATGATTTCAAATCAATAGATTATACAATGTGTCCGCAAAGTATGTAATAAATTCATTATTTCCATATAAAATGAATCATTGCTTTCAGTTGAACTTGTTTCCTAATGATGAAATAAATGATTACTTGAATTGGACAACTAGTATTGATTGCAACTTCTTTTTTCACAAGCTGCCTCAACAACTTTTGTTGATTATCAATAATAAACTGATTGATGAGTCATTATGATCCCATTCATTGTAAGAGGTAGTTGTGTATTATCATTATTATTAGACACGCCTTCAGTGAACAATTTATAAAAGATTTATATCAGATATCGACCAAATCCATTACGAATTATAAAAAACAGAATACAGTAAACGCGAAAAAATATTGTTTCAACAAAAAAAAATATTCGGAAAGGTAGCAATTGAATGGCCCACAAGATCACCGGATTCAACTCCCTTTGAACTCTTTCTTTTGGAACATTAAACATGTTAATCATGAAACAAAACCAGATCATAGCGATAATCTTGAAAGGCAAATTCCAGTGGTACTTTAGTAAAGTTTTCAGAAATGTTTGAAAAGAGTTAGCTAGAAAAAACTTCATTGAAATTTTCTTCTGATTACTTCAGGTATGCACCAATCAGAAATTCTGAACACTGAATGTATAAACTAGTGAATACTTTGTGTTTTATATACGAAACTTTCCAATGACTCTCTTCTCTTTCACCCCTCACCACAATCTATCTCCAGTTTGCCGATAGATATTTCATTACCCCACCCCAATAGAGGTCATATCACTTCGAATCGATTAACATCACGTAAACGACACCGATGGGACAAAAACCTGATGAAACCTAAATGTAATTTCCGTTTTGCTACATCGGGCAGACCTGGAGTATATATTTATAGACACAGCGAACACATGTAACACTGAAACAAAAAACGGTCGAATGATTCAGAATTTTAGTGGATGAAAATTCAATCAGCAAGAGTGGTGCATGCTTGACATGCTTTGTTTTCCTTTTGGCACTGGTTAGGTAATGGAATCTAGTTGTGTTTATGTGCTATTTTATTTTCCTTTTTATTCCTTTTTGTACTCTTAACTACTCTTTCAATATTTTAAGATAATGACCAGTCGAAATGAAGAAAATGGTTGACAAAAGAAAAAAAAGGGGGGAAATAAGAAAAATATTTCAAAGCAAGTCTGGATTGTTGATACTGAAAATTAACAACGATTATTCTTGATTGTTTTATTTCATTTCATTTATCTTGTTTTGTATTCAATTGGCATTTTAAAGTCATGCTTTGTGGTACATTTTCGATGGACCGCCCTGTATTTGCAAGTGTTGTAACCGCGAGACTCGTGCAAATCTGATATGAATAATTCCTTATCTTGGAATAGTGATTTCGTTCATTTTATATATATTTCAACCTCCCGGAGCATGAATAATTCAAAGTGGCTTACATGAAAAATGAATAATTATATTATTTATAAAAAGATAATGTTACGCAATACCGAATAAATTATCTCGCGGTTACTTAGAAATATGCTAATCAGAAGATTGCCAAGACTTCCCCGAGGATATGCAACAAAACGAGAATGAATCGATGCATTTATGCAGACAGTTCGTGAAAGACAAGTGTGTTGTACATTTTCAGAACGTTCTCGAATATCCGAATAAAAAAACTATTTAAATCAAAATCCGTTCCAGCTGTCGTTTCCTCGCGAAACGACGCTCTCAGAAGTCGAATTGAGCAATTGAGCAAACTTGTGCAAGTTATGCAAACTTGTGCAAGTTGAGCAAATTCGTGCAAGTTGAGTAAACTTGTGCAAGTTGAGCAAGCTTGTGCAAGTTGAGCAAACTTGTGCAAGTCGAGCAAACTTGTGCAACTTGTGTAAGTTTAGCAAACTCATGCAAGTTAGGCAAACTTGTGAAAGTTAATCAAACTTGCGCAAGTTAAGAAAACTTGTGAAAGTTAAGCAAACTTGTGCGAGTTGAGCAAACTTGAGCAAGTTACGCAAACTTGTGCAAGTTAAGGAAACTTGTGCAAGTCTAGCAAACTAAACTTGTGCAAGTCGAGCAAACTTGTGCAAGTCGAGCAAACTTGTGCAAGTTAGGCGAACTTGTGTAAGTTTAGCAAACTCATGCAAGTTAAGCAAACTTGTGAAAGTTAAGCAACCTTGTGCAAGTTAAGCAAACGTGTGAAAGTTAAGCAAACTTGTGCGAGTTAAGCAAACTTGTGCGAGTTGAGCAAACTTGTGCAAGTTATGCAAACTTGTGCAAGTTAAGCGAACTTAACTTGTGCAAGTTAAGCGAACTCGTGCAAGTTACGCAAACTTTTGCAAGTTAAGCGAACTTGTGCAATTTAAGCGAACTCATGCAAGTTTAGCAAACTTGTGAAAGTTAAGCAAACTTGTGAAAGCTAAGCAAACTTGTGAAAGTTAAGCAAACTTGTGAAAGTTGAGGAAACTTGTGGAAGTTAAGGCATTAGGTGCTGACTAAATACATTTTTTTTCAAAATTTCTGTAAAAAACTTATTAATACAGTTTATTGTATGCAAAAACCAGTTTTTCTAAAACCCTTTATAGTGAAAATCAAAGAATGAACCGTATTAATGAATTTTCATATGGATTTTCATCAAACATAGGCCGGTTCTATTCAATTATTATTACATACGATGAAATTAGATATATTTCAGTACATATTATACATAATCCTACTGAATTTCTCAAAATTTCGGGAGACACGAAGAAGATGGGGGTTGAACGCGAAGAAACCAAAAAAAATTTCACACAGCCTGACTTGTTTTCAATTTTATAGTCGGGAAATGCGTTTCGGAAAAGTTTGAAAATTAAATCAACTACTCTTGCAGTCAGTGAAATCTTCACTTAATCATTGAAAAAAATACCTTCAAGCTACAGAAACACTCAATCCTCGAAAATAACTGCCACAAAACCGTCTCTCGACGAACCACTGGGTGCTAGGTAAATACCATCCACAATTTACTTCTGGAAAAATCTCGATCTCTTCCACCGCAACAAACCAAACTCGCAGACACGTGAAATGCACAACAACCGGTCTACCACCCTCCAACCACTCACCGGCCGACGAGAATCAAATTAGCCTAAATAGGCTCGCGGATAAGGCGCTAACGCGATTACTTCTAACTAACCTGTTGCGAGTTCGATCGCCGAATCGGACGAGATCACCGTATGTTTGTTCCGATTCCAACAACGCGCGCTTATCTAATAAAACGGATTCGCCTCAGCCGGAGGATTTCGTCGACGACTATCACGAATTATCGCTAACGACTGATCTAGTCGACATCGACACGTGATGGACCGCAGGCTGGAACTGCAGGTCTCTTCGGAGTTCCAATTTTGGTTCGGCACGATTCAAAATACTTCTTGGGCTGAAAACTCACGGGCCCATCAGCGAAAAGAAGCATTTTTTTGATAAAAAACGTGTTATTTCTCCATCTAGCCTGATGCGATTGTTCTAACGATCCTCCAACAATTCGATCCCCTTCGAATAGTGCCATTTCTCAAGGTCTGCAAAATAGACCTCTGTCTATGCGAAGATCCCGACTTCGCGTCGTCTTTTTCCCCGGAGAAACTTTTTTGGGCTCTGCAACAAAAAGTAATCGCTGTGGGTAAAATCTGTTGAAGACGGTGGGTGGTGGATCAAGTTATAACGTAACTTAACCAATTGGACCGTCGCTTTCATGGATGACTAAGCCGGTGCTTTATCATGGTGGAACAGCACTTTTCTTGGTCCAACGGTCAAGTGGAGCAACGTGATAGTCACCAGTGATGGTCTTTTCTTTTCCAAGCAATAATGGAAGTTCATTCCCTGTGCATCCCAAAGAGTGTTAGCCAAAACTTTTTCGCAGACTGCTGGGTCTTGGAGCATTTCGGGCGGCTGCGACTCGCTTAGACTTACCACCTCACTAATTAAGAGCAGATAGTTGTTGGTTCACAGTAAAGATCAAACACATATTCAGTTTCTGGTGCAGGTGTTTTCAGTCGCAGACCCAGGAGAGAGATATCAACCTGCCTAGCGACCTATGCCACTGTATTTCAAGCGGAAATGTATTCTATTGAATTGTGTACGGAGAGCTTGGTAGAATTCAACCTCATACACAAGTCAATGAAAATATTGTCGGACAGTTGAGCGACGTTGGAAGCTCTTGGTTCCTAGCGAGCAGTGTGTAAATTGGTAGCCAAAAACGACTCTCCTCGATAGGAAGACTTAAAAGATTGTCTTTGGTCTGGAATCCTGGCCATACTGGAGTGGAAGACAATGACGCTGGTGACTTCCTTGCAAAGGAGGGTTCTGCAAGCAGCTTCATCGGATTAGAACCTGTTTGCCTTTGCCAAACAAAGATTGAACACCTGAATGGCAAAAAGATGTATGGACTTCTGACAGACTCTTCCAGGAGTGGCTCACTCCAAGGCGTTTATTCACCCTTCGAAGCTTGATACAAAATAGTTGTTGGACTACAATAGGGATGAGCAACGAGATCTTACAGGCCTTCTTACAGGTCACTTTCATTTGAATCATCATATGCTGAGACTTGGACTGTCGGAAGACAGTCTGTGTCGTTTCTGTTTGGGAAACAGGAGAGCATCTACTTTGTGCCTGCCCCGCTGCGAAGTGAATCAGATTTTCAGATCTTGGCAGAGTCGTACTCTTACCGTCTGACCTGAAAAACTACTCACATACAAACTAATCGGCTTCGTTAAGAAGCTGCGTTTACCTGGTCGAGTGTGAGTAGGTGAGGGCAACAATAAACCTTTGCGGGTTGCGGTGAAGGGTCAAATAGACCCACTCACTTTTCACCTAACCTAACCTACCAGTTCACTACGTTATTTTTGTGGACTGAATAGTGAGTTAAAGAAATAGGGGGGTTTCTTTCCGTGGGTTGGGCTACCTGGGCTAACGGCCAGGGGACTGGAGGCCCTGTCCAGGAAGCCAATGTGGCCTTACGGACGGGGTCGCCGGACTCCTGGTCAGTGGCAGAAATAAGTAGGGTGAGGGGAACTAAACCTCCCCAAAAGCCTTTGTAAAACATGCCACCGTGGACCAGCCTACCCAAGCTAAGGTGTAAGGAATCGTACCGACAGCTGAATGGCCGCAGGGTGATGTGCGGCCATATATGTGATATGGGGAAAGCTCAAGATGACAAAATCAACTTGTCTGGTAAAAAACAGGAACACCTTGGAAGTTGACTGGGTACAGCTAGACCCTTCGTGTAGTTGTGGATCCGTGTTTCATCCATTGCCACGAATCGACGCAAAAAGTTATCGAAATAGGAGTACACCTCGGTCGGAATCTGATCTGCAGGCGGTAGGTGCCGCATTTGCTGATCTGCTTCTGATCAGTAAATGCAGCACCTACCGCGCTGATAGTTTTTTCATACCCAAAAGTTCGTGCAGAAAGAAGCGCGATCTTTCGAAATGCTATCTTGCTCAGTTTAACTCGCCGATCAACCAAGTTTATTGAGCCATTGCTTTGCCTCGACGGTGTTCTTTTCTATCTCTATTCTGTTCTTTACTCAATGATCTCTTTATGGTGATTTTTCCGTATATGTTCCCTGGTATAAATATATTCCAAGTATTGCTCCTATCGACCCGATTATAGATGTGGTTCCATACAAATGTTATTGGTAGTCCAATAGCTGTGTCTGGCCTATGCGGTGCATTCCAGTCAAAACGAGCAACTCTGAATAGATCAATTGATATTGGAACTAAAAAAAACATGTGACACGTCAACTTTTTTATCTAAAAATTAGCCCCTTGTCGGCCATTGCCACTCCACAATAACCCACATGTAAACATGAATTTCAAATGGACAAATATAACTTCAAAATGATGAAATTATTTGCTGGGGAGACATTACCTAAGGCAGATCAGATAATTTCGATATGAGAGTAGAAAGATTTATTATTCTGATGAAACTTAGCTTAACAAAGGATATACCATCGGATAGATGTGGCAAGATAAAACATTACTAGCTCAGGTCAAGCGGTTTTAGAAGGCTGGTCTTCCGGATTGAATTCGCCTTCTGGAAAAGGAAAGCGAGTGATTTAACCACATTGGAGGCGTTGATGATTTTGTTGAGGGGGTTTATTGACGTTGTAGAGTCAAATCATTTAGGCGATTACCATGTAAACATGGACGGCGATGTTTCTAAAGAATATTTTGAGCAAATGTTCAACCGTACCTTAATCTGCGATCGTGATGGATAATGCAAGTCACCATTCCAGAAAAGTCAAAAAAAATACCAACTGATGCATGGAAAAAAGCATTGATTACTTTACCTGAGCATTCTATTGGCGTTTTGCATTGATAATGAGCACTTATTACTTTTTACTACTTAGACCACCTTAAGGATTTTCCCGCAGTGCTTGTGTTTTGTCCTTAAAAGAAAAAGGAATCAGAGTACCTAACTTCAATATTATTGATCCATGTAAACAAACCTAGGCTTGATTGGGAATGTGGAGTATTCCAAATGAGCATCGACACGGCACCACCAAGCTAGCTCCTAGTCTATAATCTAGCCGACACGACAATTGAAGAAGGCACCGTTTACATCCTCCTTCACCTCACACTTCAAAGTAGTTCGGCGAGACGGGTCGCACTGCTTGTGACGGTCTTTCGTCTTGACACCCGCACTCGAATAAAGATAATAAACAAAACAATCGCTAATCTACGTTATCCGCCACGGCCAACTCTATAAATCCGTCAAGGGACAACACATACACACAACGAGCCGCGGATTATTCTATAAGACGACGGTACTCGCTAACTAAGAGGCCTCGGTGAACGCGGTGACGAAAGGAGAGACAGCAAAGCACGTATACACGGTGAACGGTTCAAAGAGGCAATAGAACAGACTGTGAAAACGGTTTGAAATAAGTCACTGAGACTGTATTTGATTTGGAAAAGTAGGGGGCTTTCGTTTTATACCGTTGGCTACACTTGCTGTCGAACTGTCAAATAAAAAGTAAATTGCTACGAATAACTATCCATATGTATCCAGTCTAACATTCAACCAAGTAGTAACAGTTATGGCGTACTTTTAAACGGCGCTACAATTGAATTTTTGACATCTGTCATTCAAGCAGGGTAGCCAACCATTCAAAACCGAATGCCTCCACTTTCGACAAGTGAAATACGTACTAGAAGACCATATATGATAAGAATTTCATTTGATGCTCTTTCAATTTTGGTTGGCTACTCTGTTTATGTGCCATAAGCTATAAGATCAAGCTATCACCACAACTAAATATTAACAACACTAAATAGAAGATAAATACGATGAAAACAGCAAATGGCACTCATAAAACGATTACTTTTGAGTTATTTGAGGGCCTTGAAGGTCTAGAATGTAAAGAAAAGTCCGGTTCGTACAGAAATAGAGTCACCGCAGTGCTAGGAAAAGTTCTGATCCCCTTCAACATTCCAAGTGTTTTAATTTTAATTCATTATTATTATTTCTAGCCCGGTGTTCTGAAAACATTCTCTTTGTATTCGATTGTTGATACGACCGTCAACAGTTGTCGGGAGTGCGAGAGAAAACTGGTCACCGTTATGTGGTACAATAATTTCATTTGCAAGGCATCATTTTTTATATTGGAGACCTTTTTTTGAGTAGTAGGCAGACAATTGAAAAGTCTTGCTCCGGCCAAAAAGGGAAACTTTTCATGGGCCGAAGTCCTATGTTGTTTAATTCTAATTAAATTTCCTGATCTTGTGGAATATCGATGACACTGAGAATTGGACAGTATTATGGCTGCACCTTCCAAAATCTTCGCGGAGGCCACCATGAGACACCTCAAGCTTGCCAAAGAGAGTGTGTGTGGCCTACACCTGCCAATATAAAGGAGATGTCCCCTAGTGACCTGTACACCTTCCTGGAGAGGACAGGATGGACGATGACCTAGGAGGACAACTCCTCGGGAGGATGTACAATGGGTCACAAGTGATCTACACTCACCCTCCCTTCTCTACAGACACCAGAATACGCAAAAAAAGATTAATTAATCTATCATAACTTTTCAAAGATATTACCTGCAAATCGTTTCATCTCGGACGCAGTAAGATATTCGATGGAGAAAGGTATCAGATTCAAAACCGACTGGGAACCCGAAAGAATTCAATCACATTTACATAAACACACAAATAAGTCTACTAGCAATTGAAAAATTCAATAACTACATTACAATGCTATTAATTGAGGCAAAGTTGACACCCACAACGTTTGATATCGAAATCAAAGTCATACTAAATAATTCTTTCACGATCTTGACGACATAACTCCGATAAGGAGACATACGAGTATTCCTTGTGGTTTCCCACGATAATCCTAGAAACGCATTCCCTTGAATACCTATTCTTGCGATTACTCTGAAAAAAAAAACGAGGTTGGTCTGTCGTTTTCCAGACGATGCATCATCAATCACCTCATTGTGTATAACGATGGTGAACATAAATAAATATTTTGATAGGATATTAATGGTGCGATATTACTAACGAACTTTTTATGGTCTATGACACCACATCCTAGGTATGTGTAACGTGGATTTTAAATAACAGTTTGGGGCAGAATGAAATAGATATATTTATTATTTCATAACTGTAATAAAATAATCAGCTGATCGGGCTGAAGGTCAAAAACTGTTTCAGATACGAGAAATCTACTGACGCAAAAATCCTTTGTAGAAATTAGCGATAAGTTTGGCATATTGAACGAGGCAAAGGTATTTTTCTTGGTGTCAATACCACCTTTTGCCAGCAAAGAAATAAACTTTCATACAAAGCAGCTATTAACGGATCCTTTATTTACTCAAAATCTGTTGTTACTATTGTTCTCAAAATTTGCGCTGTACGGCTTCATTGTCCAATATTTCATACAAGGTAGTTGTATGTCCTAGCTTAGCCATTTTTTTAAGATATGAAACATTTTCTAAATAAGTCAAGACCATATCATCTTCAAAAGGAAGATCAAACAGTCTGATCTTCCTCTTCCAGGTAATGCAACAAAGTTTCAGAGGCAGCTCGTCATATTTTTGCGAATTGAGGCTTTGGATTTAGCCATTTTTTTTCAAGATATGAAACATTTTCTGAATAAGTCAAGACCATATCATCTTCAAAAGGAAGATCAAACAGTTTGATCTTCCTCTTCCAGGTAATGCAACAAAGTTTCAGAGGCAGCTCGTCATATTTTTGCGAATTGAGGGCTTTGGATTTAGCCATTTTTTTTCAAGATATGAAACATTTTCTAAATAAGTCAAGACCATATCATCTTCAGAAGGAAGATCAAACAGTCTGATCTTCCTCTTCCAGGTAATGCAACAAAGTTTCAGAGGCAGCTCGTCATATTTTTGCGAATTGAGGCTTTGGATCACAAAGGGTAAAGAATTCAAGGATAATCTGAATTATATCCAGAAAAATATGACATATTCAGCAAAAGACCGGTTGATACTAGTGCAGGGAACGGGATTGTTGATATGGGTGTCATGAAAGAGATCAACCTAGACAACCAAGGAGCATCACAATAGATCTGAAAAAGTCGCAGTGGATCAGGCCATGGGCCAGCTCCCCGACAATCTAATCTAAAGTGGCCTGGATACTCAACACCAAATAAAACACGAAAATAAAACAAATAAAACGCACTCAGTTCATCTGATCCCTACTTTTTGCACAAAAATTAATCCGTTACATGATTCCACTTCTCCTTTTGATGTTTTTTATTCTCGCCACCTTTGGAGCATTGGTCAAATTATCCTTCACGTAAACATACGCCCCGGCCTGGTTGCCGGCGTGACTAATACCCTGAACTACACTTTTTAAAGGCTCTTTTTCAGTTGAACGGCTTCCTCGTGGAATAAACTTCCTGCGACGATTTGAAATGAATATAATCTGCAGAGGTTTGAATAAAACTCGATAAAATAATTATTTCTCATAGTTTCAAAGATCTTACTCTGAATATGGAAATGAAAATGATGTTCGAACGAATAAATTGTTGTTTTATCGCGAGGCCAATTTTCCTTCGAGCACAAACTTATTTCATCTGGCATTAATAGATTGGATTATTAATATCAACTAGCAATTGATATGATAAATGTATGAATGGACCAGATCCAAGTTAAAACGAGAAAACGAACTTTCTGGCATTCGAATCGTCTGGTTATTTCAGATCCCAAGATTAATAGTACAGTGTGTGATTATAAGAAACACTACTACTACCAATAAATACTATTTGAACGTATGATGTTTATATTTTCACGAGAAAATATTGTTAAACAACTCAGTATGTGACAGGTATTATTAAAAAACGGGCAGAATCCCACAATACCCAACAAAACGAGCCAGCCTGAATAAATCATTTGATGCTGAGTCTGCAAAAAAATCAACTTTTGTTTCTATGTGAAAATCAACTCCATATCAGCCGTCCTCCACCAATATCAACTAACATGCCACAAATTTCAAATAGGAATATTAGTCGAGTGACATCTCAATTTAAATAGTTTAAAGTGTGTTCCATCCTGTAGCGTTTTTGACAATGCTATGAGCAAGCTTCTGTCTATAGTAGCTTACAACACCTGGTGATATCATTCCGTAAATTATATACAGTAGAACCATCTCCATACAGAAAAGTCCAGTGGAGTCAAATTGGGGGATTTGGGTGGCCATTCTGTAGAACCTCTCCTTCCAATCCATCGAAAGTTACTACGTAATGAGAAGAAGAATCATTTTGTTGCAAAACTACTCCATTTTATAACACATGCTCTAACTGAATAACGTGGTTTTCGAAAATTCCCGCCCAACAATTGGGTGTGAATTTGACGAGCCATATCGGGTATTGTATCGCCCAGTATCGGAAATTTCGTTGTACCTGAAAGACTGATGAGTGAATGGTATGCTCATTTTCTTGAAGGCAACACTCAACGTGTTATCTGATGACGGTGCCGCCAATAATCACTTCCTGGCAGCCGCGACACTTTACAACAGTCACCCTGTACACGTTACGAAGTTTGATTTCGTCTTTCGATGTCCCGCGGCGGAAATACCAGTAATAATAAACTGCATACGGTACAGTGTGCCAAATGTCTTAGATTTTTAATCAACAGCTCCGCTTGGAAGCTTCTCTATACGTGGGAGGGACGAAAAGAATCAAGTCGGCAAGATGAAATGAAAATGGAACATTGAGAAGAGGAGGGGACTGTGAAATATCATAGTGGCGAGTTAGAAATTATCCAATGCAAAAAATAGATAGAAATCTGCTTCCTTTTTACATCTACCCTGATCGGTAACTCAATATTTGAATCCCATCTGCTATTTTGAATAGAGTGATGGATCAGGTGTGGTATTATTGGGTTATTTCAAAGGATTTGTCCGTTTTAATGTCATACGTTTTTGTAGCTCCACCTAATATATAAAATTCTCGTGTCGCAGTGTTAGTTGCCAAAATCCTCGAAAACGGCTATCCCTAAGTGATAAGGATGTTCCACTCCAATATTTCTTTTTGACATGTTTTATTTTTTTTATGATGTGGCTTTAAAAAATACATATAACCCCCAGTATTTACCCTTCCATCTCCAACCCCTATTTTTTATTAGCCCTTTCAGTAATTTAATAATTTTTAATCCTGATCATAGATCAGTTATTCCCACCAGGCGTCTACCTGTGTCACTTCTCACTCATTAAACAGCACATAGTAGGGATGAGAACGAAGCTGGTTCCCCGTCTCTCTCGCACAATAAGTCTTCTCT